TCTGAATTCTGTGAGACCACCTGCAATTCCTTTTTCAACGCTTCAAATTGATTGCGCAACGAACGACCTGCATTTCCAGTGCCAGCAAAATTTTCATGCAATTCCACTCGGTCATAGTCCTGAAGTAGCTGGCTGAAATTGTTTCTCAAACTAGAGTCTTGGAAGAGCTTGTGAGCATTGTAGTTGTGCCCGCCAAAAAGGTCACTGAAAGAATCCACCAATGGAAGCTGTTGACCTTGCATGGCCTCAAGTCAGCTGGTTGCTCCACTTAAAAGAATTGGTATGAATGTGACCCAGGCTGAGATTGCAACTAATTATTGTCTAACTCAGAACTTACTTAGAATTCAAACTTCTGAAATTGATATTGATGTTGAACCAAATCAGTTATTGACGTTGAACCAAATCATGAAGAATGAATGGTGATACTTTGACCTCCATCCATCACTCCATCCATCCTGAAAGAAGACATCTTCATCTTCTGCTGCGCTGGAAGCACCATCATCAGGTGCTTTGGCTGCTGCTGCATGCTTGCGCTTGGGCATGGCGCAGGCACAGAGTACCGGTTCCAGCTAAGTGATTTTGGTGTTTCCAGAAAATTTTAAAAATCCAAAAAAGGCTTGGATTCACTTAAACGATTTTTTTTTCAAATAAGAAAATTTTAAAATCCAAAAAAGACTTGGATTCCCTTAAACGATTTTATTTTTTCAAATAAGAAAATTTTATAATCCAAAAAAGGCTTGGATTCCCTTAAGCGATTTTTTTTTCAAATAAGAAATTTTTAAAATCCAAAAAAGGCTTGGATTCCCTTAAACGATTTTTTTTTTCAAATAAGAAATTTTTTAAATCCAAAAAAGGCTTGGATTCCCTTAAACGATTTTTTTTTTTCAAATAAGAAATTTTTACAATCCAAAAAAGGCTTGGATTCCCTTAAACGATTTTTTTTTTCAAATAAGAAATTTTTAAAATCCAAAAAAGGCTTGGATTCCCTTAAACGATTTTTTTTTTCAAATAAGAAATTTTTAAAATCCAAAAAAGGCTTGGATTCCCTTAAACGATTTTTTTTTCAAATAAGAAATTTTTAAAATCCAAAAAAGGCGTGGATTCCCTTAAACGATTTTTTTTTTCAAATAAGAAATTTTTACAATCCAAAAAAGGCTTGGATTCCCTTAAACGATTTTTTTTTCAAATAAGCAATTTTTAAAATCCAAAAAAGGCTTGGATTCCCTTAAACGATTTTTTTTTTCAAATAAGAAATTTTTAAAATCCAAAAAGAAAATTTTAAAAATCCAAAAAAGGCTTGGATTCACTTAAACGATTTTTTTTTCAAATAAGAAAATTTTAAAATCCAAAAAAGACTTGGATTCCCTTAAACGATTTTATTTTTTCAAATAAGAAAATTTTATAATCCAAAAAAGGCTTGGATTCCCTTAAGCGATTTTTTTTTCAAATAAGAAATTTTTAAAATCCAAAAAAGGCTTGGATTCCCTTAAACGATTTTTTTTTTCAAATAAGAAATTTTTTAAATCCAAAAAAGGCTTGGATTCCCTTAAACGATTTTTTTTTTTCAAATAAGAAATTTTTACAATCCAAAAAAGGCTTGGATTCCCTTAAACGATTTTTTTTTTCAAATAAGAAATTTTTAAAATCCAAAAAAGGCTTGGATTCCCTTAAACGATTTTTTTTTTCAAATAAGAAATTTTTAAAATCCAAAAAAGGCTTGGATTCCCTTAAACGATTTTTTTTTCAAATAAGAAATTTTTAAAATCCAAAAAAGGCGTGGATTCCCTTAAACGATTTTTTTTTTCAAATAAGAAATTTTTACAATCCAAAAAAGGCTTGGATTCCCTTAAACGATTTTTTTTTCAAATAAGCAATTTTTAAAATCCAAAAAAGGCTTGGATTCCCTTAAACGATTTTTTTTTTCAAATAAGAAATTTTTAAAATCCAAAAAAGGCTTGGATTCCCTTAAACGATTTTTTTTCAAATAAGAAAATTTTAAAATCCAAAAAAGGCTTGGATTCCCTTAAACGATTTTTTTTTTCAAATAAGAAATTTTTAAAATCCAAAAAAGGCTTGGATTCCCTTAAACGATTTTTTTTTTCAAATAAGAAATTTTTAAAATCCAAAAAAGGCGTGGATTCCCTTAAACGATTTTTTTTTTCAAATAAGAAAATTTTAAAATCCAAAAAAGGCGTGGATTCCCTTAAACGATTTTTTTTTCAAATAAGACAATTTTAAAATCCAAAAAAGGCTTGGATTCCCTTAAACGATTTTTTTTTTCAAATAAGAAATTTTTAAAATCCAAAAAAGGCTTGGATTCCCTTAAACGGTTTTTTTTTTCAAATAAGAAAATTTTAAAATCCAAAAAAGGCTGGGAGAAGAAGACTGCCTTATTTTCTTTCAAACAAATATCAAATCAAAATAAGGATTTTTTTTTCAAAAAAAACTGTAAGTAGAATAGAGTCAGAGAGATGGGTAGTGTTTTTGTTTATATATTTAAACTTAATTAAATATTAGAAAAGGAAAATTCCAAAAAAAAATGTAACCAAAACATGAAAACAATAAAAAAACAAAAAACAAAAAAAGAAACCAGTCTCGAAGCAAATTTGATAAAAGAACCAATGTCAGCCTTGTTTTTTTTGCAGTTGATTGAAGTTGATTGTGTTTTTTTGACCAGAACTTAAAACACAAGCAAAAAGCTTATTTGATTTTTTTTTCAAATAAGCTTATTTGATTTTTTTGTGGTTTGTGTCCCCTGGATTTTGTTTTTTTTTGTGTTTCTGATCAAAAAAAACAAATTGTGGGGGACACAAACCAATTATAATCAATTTCTGTCCCCCAAAAGTGGTTTTTTTTGATCAAAAACACAAAAAAAAATCCAGGGGGCACAAGCCACAAAAAAAATCAAATAAGCTTATTTGAAAAAAAAATCAAATAAGCTTTTTGCTTGTGTTTTAAGTTCTGGTCAAAAAAACACAAGAACTTTGCAAAACAGCAAGAAAAACATTTGAAAAAAAACACACCAAAGTGATCTGCATAGGTTTTTCTCACCAAAGTTGTTTCCAACCTTGTTTTTTTTTGTTTTTTTAAATCTTGTTAGAATTAAACATGTTTTTTTAATGTTCCTTTGTATTTTTGGAAGTTATAATACATATGTTGTTTTTCTTTAATTATTTATGTGATATGTGATTATGTGATATGATGTTTCAAGTGAAATTAATCTTTTCCATCAAATCCAAATTTCAATGAATTTGATTTCTTTTGCTTCATGTCCCCTATGATATATGTGTGGATTTTACAGTTTTTCATTTTCATTATTTATAAGTTTTAATTTTCAATATATACAGTAAACATAATAATGGGTGTCACTATGCCTCCCAAGTCCCAACATGCATCATACCTTTCGTTCTCTGACTCTGAGGTTCAACTTTTCCTTTGGCTGTGGCTGTGGCAGCTTGATGTTGAAATGAGCATCTCTTCTGAGAGGCTCAATCCTCAGTAGTTACCCACAAAAACAAATCACCGCTGGGCTGCTGGGCTGGGCTACCACGGTTACCACAGCCCTTCATGTTGCCAATTTTCAATTGTCAACCCAATCCGCATGTTCTGATTCTCAATCCCAAGTTTGGTCCCTTACCAGAATTTAAGTTCCAGTCCAATCCCATCCACAACCAAGAAAACCACATAAATCATAATATGTTATATTATATGAGTTAGGTTAGATTACATGGCTCAAGGAGCTCTTGTTGCCCTGTCCCGAAGGGTCTTTTTTTCTTTCCTTCTGACACTGGTTCATCATCCCTAGTGCCAGGCTGACTCAAGATACCCCGGTTCATCTTCCCTGGAGCCCTTGTATTAAGTAATAAGTAATAATAGGTATCTTAGAATAGGTCAGAAAATGAGTTTTGTTATTACAGAATTGGTCTTAGTACAGAATCCTGTCATCATGATCCCAGTTACAGTTGGTCCCAAGTCCAAAAGGTCTTGAATTTGAAAGTTGAGAGTTTTTAGAGGAAGGAGTTGATCTTGACCCCACAGTGTGTGTCCTCTACTCTCAACTGCTTTTGGCATAGATGATGTGATGACGACGATGACGATGACAACGATGATTGGATATTGGATCAATTGGATTGGATCATCATGATTCCAATTCAAATCCAGTTCCGAGTCGAGTTCCGAGTTCTGACTATTCCAATTCTGATTCCAATTCCTGCCAATCGTATAGTCGTGTAAGTGATAAAATCATGACCATGGACCATGACCATGATTATAAATTATCATGATTCAATTGTTGGTTGGACTTGTAATCCAATCAAAAACCAATCTCACATCACATCCATTCAACATAATTATAATTGTCTTGATTCACAATGATACCATATGAGGAATAAATACCTGTTGCCTGTTACCTGTTATACTAACACCTGGTAAAAAAAAAATGATTGATTGAATTGATTGGAAGATCTAATTTGATTCCCTGACCGTGACCCTGATCCCATCCTGATGGCAAAATTGTTTGTCACACAGACACGTCACAAGCTGCGCAAGTTGTTGGGCCAATCTGAAACTACTCGGCTGCGGCTGGGTTATAGTAGTTCCTGGCTGCAGGCATGCCAGAAATCACCGGAGCCAGCTGCCTGTAGATTGCATCTGGGACCTCACCAGGTTGCTGAGGCCGAATGTCGATGTGGAGGTTCAATGGTCTGGCCGCTAAGTGATACTTTCTCCACACCCTCGCATGCACAGCTCTCAAAGCACTTTGCCATGAGTCTGCAGATGTGGCGTCAAAGATCTTTGTGAAGTGCTGATTTTGAAGCTCCCCATCCCAAGCATCACACTGCATACCCCTTTTCCACTTGGAAACGAAACGATGGTCGCACATATTCAGAGATATAGTGCAATGAGGAACAGGGGAGATCTGTACTAAGATAGCCACAGGGGATGTGTTGATCCTGATTGCCTGGGCGCGGGGGCGTCTGTGTGCCTGAGGCTGATCATCGCCTGCAGCTTGAGGAGGTTCTGCTACCACCATGTTCAAGAAACGGTTGTTGTCAGGAAGCTCAGCTGGTTGCGGTTGTTCGTCAGAGTCAGAGTCACTGCTGCTGCTGCTGCTGCTCCCAGTCCCACTCCCACTCTTCTTTGACTTGCTGGAGGAGCTGGATGAAGAGCTGCTGCCACTGCTGCTGCCCCCCCCTCCTCCACCTTCATTTGCATCATCATTGCCATCATGAGCCTGCGATTCACCACCACTGCCAGGTTCACCATCAGGTGTTTTGTCAGGTTTGGCAGCAGATTCAGTGGTAGCATGCTGGTCGCTGTCATGACCCACCACCACATCTTCATGCTGGCCCGTTGCCAAAGTCAAATCAGCCAGTCTGTCTGAGTCCTGGTCTTGGTCTCGGTCATCACAATGTGCATCGGCGGGCTTGTCATGCTGACCCAGCTGACCCACAGAAAGATTGGAACTGGAATCATGTTTGGGTTTGGGGTCACAAGAATCGACATGATCACCATCATTGTCATCATCGCTGTCATCTTCCAAACATTCATCGTGTGCAGCATCTGGTTCAGATTCTTCTTGTTCTTCTTCAAATTCACAATCATCCTCTGGGTTTGAATCGGAATCCAAAACAATACACTCGTCTTCAGGCGGTTGGTGTTTTCGTCTTTTCTGTCGGCCAAGCCCAAGCTGTTGCGGCTGCGGCTCAGGCCCTTTCTGCGCAGCACAGTCACGGTCAAGCATGGCCTGCAGGTCCTGTATACCTGAGGGCAGAAGTTGGATCTGTGTATGGCTTGGGGTTACAGCATGGAGCAATGGAGGACCAGGATATATCATAACAAACGACGACGACGACGACAACAACAACAAGAACAACAAGAACAACAAAAACAACAACAACAACAACAACAACAACAACAACAACAAGACTTGAGAAGGGGGGACACGAAAGGCAGTTTTGTCGCAGGTGACGCAGGTGAGTGATGATCCTAAGGGGCAAAGCCTACGCACTTAAGATTTCACTCACTTGCGCACATTATCTAGATATGATGATGATGATGATGATGACGATGACGATGACGATGACGATGTTGAGCCATTCAGAAAATCATCCGGGGTCCAAATGGAAGGAAGGTACCATATGATCTGGGGAGGGGAGGAGGGGGGGAGGGGGGTGGGTCCCTTTCTCCTGGTCGTTCAGGGATAAGGGGTCCAGCCCCACCCCTTTGCTTCGCAAAGTAAAACTCAAGGTAGTTGGGAGGCTACCTCTCGTGAACAACAACAGCAGCAGCAACAACAACAACAACAGTTCAACAACAGTTCAACAACAGTTCAACAACAGTTCAACAACAGTTCAACAACAGTTCAACAACAACAACAACAACAACAACAAACTAAACAACATCTTGGATTTGATTTGATTAATTTGATTTTTGATCATTGGCAATCATTGGTTGCTATTATATAATTATATAGGTTGATGTGGTGATAATGGTATATAATAATTGCATCGCGCTGCAAACGTGAGAAGAATTGAGTGCATGAGAGACAGGGAGTCAAGAATTATCTAAAGTTTTGAATCAACCTTGGCTGAGCCTGGCTACCGATATCTCCATGATCTTCCTGCTCTGTTTTTGCATCATCCGCAAAAGCCTTTCTCTTCCTGGACGTCGCTTTTGACTTGGCCTTCTTGGGATCCTTCATGATTTTCTGGTAGTAAGCAAGAGGTTGACCAGGCAATGCTGAACAACCCAGCAAAAGAGCAGAATAGTACGCTTTGGGCTGAAAATGATGAATTGAGTCATTGTTCATCAGAATTGAGGCTGAACATGCCAATGCCCTCAAATATGCGATATTGATGGATTGACCAGGTTTCTTGTACCAAATTTTCATTCCACCATCACCATCACCACCAGAATATGGAACTACCTGTGATGGTTTCTTTGTTGTCACATCCTTCCACCCCTCTGCTGTCAGTCTCTGAACGAGCTCCACTGCAGTCAGATCATCAGCGGTCTTGCCAAATGAGGCCCCTTTCCGTTTGAATTCAAGAAGTTTCTGCGGTTCTTTCAAACAGAAGGCTAGTTTGAGAAAAGATCTGGCATAATCAGTCAACGTGAACCATCCTGATGATGATGATGATGATGCCTCACTCGAGTTCTCAAAACCTTTGAATGATAGTTTGCGGATAAGGTTTCTTTTGACCAGTCTCTTAGCAATCTCGCCATCACCGTCGCCAATGTAAGCCCCTTTGGAATCACTCAGAGATGCACCACCGGTTGAGGCTATCTCCTGGAGAATGGCGAGCTCTTCTGGCTGCCTCATGGACAGGAGGACAGAATAACTAGCTGACAGCTGAAGGCGGAAGCTGGCAAACAAACAATCACCCAAAGCCCAAAGTGGTAAAGAGGAATGAGGTAGGTAGGTAGGTAGGTAGATAGGTAGGTAGAAGGAGTGAGAGTGAGAGAGATTATTGACTTGGGATTGAGAGAGATTATGGAATTAGAGAAAACATTGGCAAATACCAAGGAAATGAATGACCCTAGACCTCACACCACACTCCAAAACATTGGCAAATACCAGCTAAATCCATCTCAGCCAGAAAACAGGAAAAAAACAAAAAAACAGTAACAAAGTCATTGGAATTGGAAATTGGAAATTGCAAGTGGAATTGGGATTGAATGGAATTATATATTATGATTAATGGTTATGATGATTCATGATAATCATGATTGAATCAGAATGGAATAATTGAACTGAATCTGAATGAACGTTGAGTTCAATTTCAACAATGATAATTTCATTTTTCCTGGTAACAGAACAGAACTTAACAGAACAACAACAACAACAGCAACTACTATTAACAAAACAACACAACATCCCCATTTTTTGCCTTGGATGGCAAGGCATGGTCTGGCAAAGTAGAGTCAAGGTTCACATTCAACATTCCAAAGGAATGTGAAGTTTCTGGCTGCAGCTTCCAGACCAGAATAGATGAAAGCTCCCCATGGGTATCTGGGTTGCACAACCTCAGGTTTGCATCTGTCTCTCCGTCCGTCCGTCCTGATACCACTGCAGTATGTCAATGATCCTGATAAGAGACATACCACTGCTGTATTCTAGATTCTAGAACCTAACCTGTCATCATCAGCCCATCCCCTGGTCAAGCGATTTGCCAAGCAACCACTTTGCCTGGGCAGTCCATGGAATGATAGCTGCTAGCTTAGCAGTTGGTCACCCTAATATACTATAGACTGTAGAGGGCCACAGTGGGCTATAGTAGTATAGTGACTAGTCTTGTCACGTCTTGTAATTTATCCATCATAATCATAATTTAAATATATTTCATTCTGTCACAGGATTCGACCATATACACCAGACTGGACAGTTGTAAGACTGAAAAGTGAAAGGATGATGATGATGATGGTGATGATGATGATGATGACGACGACGATGATGATGACAACGGCGTGAAATTGAATCCAAGATTCGGCAAGAGTGGCACCAGAGGGTATTACCAGCTGTTGTTGTTGCGACCCTCCACCAGAGTCACCATGTATTGGTACAAATGGTTGAACCAAAAAGTCAACATTGAGCATTCCAGACTTGTCGCCCACCAAAGTCAGTTGGCTAAAAGCCCTCGCTGTATCCATCACCCGGAAAAAAACTGGACCTGCTGCTGCTGCTGCTGAAGCTGAAGGCAAACCAAGCGGAACATCATCAGCTTCCTCCAAACCAATGATGCTGGAAGCAGCAGTGGGAGCATCTTCGACAGCTTGGGCTGGGACTGAGGCACCATCGTCCCAACAAGCAGTACCTGACAGACAGACACCACTGACACACCACCTGAAAGAAACCAGAAAGACTAGTAGTAGCCGAGCCAGCAGCAGCAGCTAGCAGCAGCAGCTAGCAGCAGCAGCTAGCAGCAGCAGCTAGCAGCAGCAGCTAGCAGCAGCAGCTAGCAGCAGTAGTGAGCAGTAGTAGCAGCAGCAGTGGCAGCAATAGGCACTAGCACTCACAATAGCACCAGCAGTATTGTCAGTGTCAGAAGCAGTAGCAGTAGTAGCAGTAGTAGCAGTAGAGGTAGATGGCAGTTGCAGTAGCAGCAGAAGCAAAAGCAGCAGTAATAGCAGCAGTGAGGTAAGGAAGGACAATGTGCTTGCCCTGCCTGCTGTTACTGTTACTGTCATTGACACTGTCAACGTTCAACTGCCTGCCAACAAAAAGACAAAATTATATATATATATATATAAACTGAATGGATAATTAAGTGAATCAACTGTTAATCAACTAGTAACTAATCAATCAGAATTTAGAACCAATCTGAAAATTGAAATAAGTTTAAGTTGAGTTGAGTTGTGTCGGGTCAAGTCAAGTCGATCGAGTCTTGAGTTGAAGTCGCAGTCGAAGGCTAGGTCGGTCTCGGAGTCTCGAAGTGAGTAAAAATTGAATTTGTTCAAGTGAAAGTAATGATGAGCATGAGTTGGGCCGAGCCGAGCCGGGCCGAGCCCCTTAATTTCATGAATCAAGCATCAAGACACCTTCAGAGCACAAAGCTGCACAGCTGGACCGCAGAAGATCGCCCATTGAGAAGCAAATGTTGGGATCACTTTGTGATACCTAGAGCCACTGCCGGAGACTTGGACTCCAGAATCCAGAAGCCCGAATTATGATATGGTTCTGATTGATTGATTGATTGATTGATTGGTTGATTGATTGATTGATTGATTGCTTGATTGCTTGATTGATTGATTGATTATGAATTGAATTTGAACAAGATCAGTCACCGTCACCGTCACAGTCATTCCCAGTTCCAGCCCAGTCTCAGTCCCAAATGATTCTGAAATTATTGGTAGACAGACTAGCAGCTAGCAGACTCTAGTTACAGTATGAGTTATTAACAGCAACAGTCCGTCCAAATGCAACTTCAACAGTTTGTGAATCGCAAAGTGTTGCGAGTGTTGAAGACAATGTCAATGACAGAGCGCAATCTCAAACAAGTTACAGCCTGCAAATGGGCCAAAAGCATCTCAGCAAGGGGCGTGGTTTCCACACGTTCAGCAATCGTTTTTTGCTTGGTTTTTGATGGACATGTGACAGCATCGCGCTTCACCTCTTTGTCCTTGATTTCCTGGTGAAGCCTGGCTCGGCTTTGGTGTTTCTGTTTCAAGTTGTCCCTGTACAGCAATTTGACCAATGCAGCGAACTTGAAGCTCATCAGCTTCTTGGAGTCCAAGTTCAGAATCTTCCTGAGGTGAGAGCCAGTAAGTGAGAGAGTGTTGCCATTGGGGATGGGCGATGAGTGCAGTGCAACTGTGGGAAAAATACATCAGCAATTAGAATTGGAATTATGAATTATGCAACAGTTTAACCGTTTGTCTCAATTCCCAATCTAATCAGGTGGGGACAAGATAAGAACCTGAGTCAGTGAGTGTGTCTGAGTGTGTGTGTGAACTTCATAATTCAACAAGTCCAACAAGTCAGTCAATTTATATGTATTTCATATATAATATATTGAGTTTGTCATCATCATCAATGATTGGCGTGTCAGACCTGTGTCAGCGTCCTGAGTTCCAACATACGTGCAGCCAAAGCCACGCCACGATGTTGCGGAATCCTTCCAATTTCTCGACCCGGAACAGCTCCACAGCCATATCTTGGAATACCTGAGCAGCGCTCAAGAACTAGAAAGGTAAATTGTTAAGTAAGCAAGAAAGTAACTAGTAAGTAAGTTAAGAAAATAAAAGTAAGTAAATAAGTAAGTAAGAAAGAAAGTATATAAGTAAGAGTAAGTAAGAGTAAGTAAGGGTAAGTAAGAGTGAGTAAGAGTAAATAGTGAGTAAGTAAGTAAGTAAGTAAGTAAGTAAGTAAAAGTAAGTAAGAGTACAAGTAAGTAAATAAAAGTAAGTAAGTAAAAGTAAGTAAGTAAGTAAGTAAGAGTAAATAGTGAGTAAGTAAGTAAGTAAATAAGTAAAGTTAAGTAAGTAAGTAAGTAAGAAAGCAAGTAAGTAAGCAAGTAAGTAAGAAAGGAAGGAAGGAAGTTAAGTAAGTAAGTAAGTAAGTAAGCAAGCAAGCAAGTAAGTAAAAGTAAGTAAACGTAAGTAAACGTAAGTAAAAGTAAGTAAAAGTAAGTAAAAGTAAGTTAAAGTAAGTAACAGTAAGTAAAAGTAAGTAAAAGTAATAAAAGGAGGTAAAAGTAAGTAAAAGTAAGTAAAAGTAAGTAAAAGCAAGTAAAAGACGGTAAAAGTAAGTAAAAGTGAGTAAAAGTAAGTAAGTAAGTTAGTCAGTAAGTGTGTAAGTAGGTAAGTAGGTAAGTAGGTAGGTAAGTAGTAAGTACCTATAAATTATAAATATAAGGAACCAGACCTGACCTGAACTGAAGTCTGAAGTACATTGAGAATATGGAATTGGAAACTCTTGCGGAATTGAAAAGCAAAACCACGGTCCACCCACCAACACATAGAATATGAATTTTCAACTGATGTGGAAAATTAAACAACAAACAGACAGATTCAGATTCAGGTGATGAAATTGTTCAAGTGTTGCAAATGATTGAGAGCTTTGACTGATGTCAGTTTTTGAGTGCAACTTGACTCTCTGAATTTTCATTAAATCCACCACACTGACCGACCCCTGGTATTCTAAGTACTTGTTTGTGTCAAAGCGCCCGTTGTAAATGTTGGGGTTGAAAAAACCCGAGTTACCCGGGTGTTTGCTTACAAATCTGAGTACCAGGTGCTCGTGGATTGCAAGTCAAAGTCTTGACAACGTCAGGCAGCCGAAGCTCCACTGAAACGTAGGACAGACTGGCAGCTGGCGCCCTTCTGTACACCTTTGTAACCAAGGAATGGATTCCTTCAACGGATCGTTCACTGACCCTGATCGAAGCGAGCCGTCCAAGCCAGGCTGTGAATGGCCCCTTGAGCTCGCTCAGAGGCTCACCCTTGGCCAAACGCTCCACGTAGGGTCTCAAAGAAATGTCACCTGCATGGTCTCCTTCGAAGTCTTGCGACAGAAACCGTTGGCTTTGGCGGTGTTCACGCCCTGAAGTCACCAAGCTGTCATTGTCATACAACTGAAGGCATTCCTGTGCTCCCAGGACCGCGAGCTCATGGACTGGGTGGGCCATGGCCAAGATTTTCCATGGCAGTTGCCTGAAGTAGAACAACTTGGTCGTGATCTCAGCCCATAGCCTCGCTCGAGCAAAGGTCCAATCCCGGAAAAGATCGAAAGCTGCTGCCCGGTCTCTGTGGATAGGGCTGCTGACCAGCTCAGCTGTGAACTGCATGAACAATGCATTCGAATCCATCCTCAGATGATACAGTTGCAGCCCAGGGCCCAGACTCTGGACTCTAGCAGTGCAGTGCAGGATCGGATCAATGAACCGCATAATGAACCCGAACCCTATGAATTGCATCAATAATCAATCAATATGATGATATGCGATCATATCATGCCATACCACGGTGATATCAATCAGTGAATCAATGAATCAATCACCAAGGATCATTCTTTGCTTCAACCGTCTCAGAACACACCCAGATGCAAGTTCAGGTGCTCTGCAGCAACGCATGGGGCAAGATGCAGCTTCTATCAGCCCTGCTGACCTCTTCTTCCTTGAAGCCTTTCTGTTGGCCTGGCAGTGCCAGGGTGAGTAAGTGATTGAGTGGTGGTGACTGAAAGAAAGAGAGAGCCATCAGCCATCAGATCAAAATGAAATTTCAAGTTTTCAGTTTTCATTCAAAGTTCAAAGTTCAGTTCAAACTGCTCACCTAACTGCTGCCACCATCATCGGATGCTTTGAATCTTTGGACTTTGGAACAAAAATGGCGGACCACTGGATGAGTCATGCCGCCAGTCATGCAGTCTCGCACCCACCCAGCTTAGCCTTGTGAGTAGCCCAGCTGATTAGATGCTGCTCATGGCAGTGGCAGCCTTCGCAGAAGTTCCCCACAAACTCTGCTTCCATGCTCACTTCATAGGTGGCACGCACAAGTGCCCAGAAGCTCTTTGAACGAATTGCCTTGTCGATGGCATCCACATTGATCCTGAGTGGGGCTGGCCCGGCATAAGATAAGCAGCAGCAATAGCAGCAGCAGCAGCAGCACCAGCAGTAGCAGCAGAAGCAGCAGCAGCAGCAGCAGAAGCAGCAGCAGCAGCAGCAACAGCAGCAGCAGCAGCAGTAGCAGCAGCAGCAGCAGCAGAAGCAGCAGCAAAAGCAGCAGCAAAAGCAGCAGCAAAAGCAGCAGCAAAAGCAGCAGCAAAAGCAGCAGCAAAAGCAGCAGCAGCGGCAGCAGCAGCGGCAGCGGCAGGAGGAGTAGCAGCAGAAGCAGCAGCAGTAGCAGTAGCAGCAGCAGTCCTAGCCCTGGCAGTAGCAGCAGTAGTAGTTAGTAGTTGTAGTGGATGGGATGAGATGGGATGAGATGGGATGAGGTGGGATGAGATTGTTATGTTGTGTTGGAGTGGTGGGAGTTGGGAGTCGGGAGTCGGGTCGGGAGGAGGGATAAGTCAAGGCAGACAAGGCTCGTGAACTCCTCGTCAATGCCCTCAGGTAACTTGCTGTCCTGCTGCTTTTTGGACTTGCGGCCTTTACAGGCACCAAAGGTCTTTTTGTCCCAGCATCGTCGTAGAACTTCTTCAAGACGCAGCAACTAGGCAAGTCAGCAGTCAGCTGCGTCTGTCAACAGTGTCAGTGTAAGTGTTGTAGTGTTGTCAAGTGTCAATGTCTGTCAACACTCCACCAAACATTAGGCTCGGCTGGGCCGGGCTAAGGCTAAGCCAGGCTGCGGCTAAGGCTAAGGTTAGTAATTAGAAAGTATTATTGAAAATTGCATTGCATTTGGCATTTGCATTGAATTGAATTGAATTGAATGCCGCGCAAAGTAACCTCAAAACAGAAGTTTGTAATGGCTGACCACCGCAGTCCTTTCAAGGTAGCCTGGAATGAATTGAACGCAGCACGATCTGGTTCCAGTGAAACGCATTTCTCCACGAACTGCTCTCGGGCAAAGACTCTGACCAGGAGTTTCTCCAACTGACGAAGGTCTTCAAGGAATGACGGCCAACTTAGCAAGGCAGTGCAGTGGTGTTGTGTGATGTGGCTATGACTATGACTATGACTATGATTATGCTAATAATAATCAAATTTTGATTTGGCTTTGATTTGTTTTTGACAATTGACAACTGATTTGGAGACCTGATTTGGACTTTGGATTTGGATTCAATTGATCCTGCTTCAGCTTACAGTAATTGATTGATCATTGAAATCACCATCATCATCGGCGTCGGTCGGCGTCGGCGTCGTCATAATTAAATAATTATATAATGATATATATATATATATTATATATAATATATATATATATATATATTATATATTATATTATATTATATTATATTATATTATATTATATTATTATATTATATTATATTATATTATATTATATATTATATATATATTTATTATTTATATTATATATATTAAATATAATATATATAAATATATATTATATAATATATCAAATATAACATATTATATATATATATTAAATATTATATATATTATATATATATACATTATAATAATATAATATATATATATATATATTTAATATATAATATAATATAATATAATATAGTATAATATATTTCAAATATTTTATATAAAAAATAAATATTATAAAAATATTATATAATATATTATCATCAACCCGCATGGCATGGAAATTGGTTGGCAATTCAGAAAGAGTGAGACTGAGACAGCAGTAGCTATGCGAAGCCAAGAAGCCAACGCATCTTCTCCAATGATGCTGACAGCAAGTTGTCACAGACGTGCTTGGTCCCCACGATGCTGAAAGAATTTGGAAACCTGGGCCGAGCTAGTCTAGGCTGGTCTAAGCCTAAGTCAGATTAAACCTGGACCTGGACCTGGACTCTGGACTTTGGATTGGATTACCTTGAAAAAGTATGTATATTTATATATTTTAATATAATTATATATATTGAAAAAGAATTCACTGGTCAGTCAGTAATTGATTGATAATTGACTGGACTGTACTATTGTCTGTGAATAATGTGATTGTTAACTGAAATTGAAAGACAAAAAATGAATTGAATTTGAATTTGAATTTGATTAACCATTTCTGATTCTGATCTGATCTGAACCTACAGTAAGAAAACACCGTTGATGTTGACCTGGGACCTGGGGTCTGGGACCCATCAAAGTGTGTAAAGACAATAAACTGAAATAGAAATTGAAACAAAAAAAGACTTGTGACTCGCCGATGTGAAAGCAACGCAGAGTTCCATTCCTTGGAGCTTCCAGCCACATAGTTTTCGGCCTGATGATCATGATGATAGTCATGCTGATCACTGATGATGATGATGATGAGGAGGAGGAGGATGATGATGATGACATGCTGCTGCTGCTGATGATGATGATGATTATGATGATAAGGGAGGAGAAGGATGATGATGATGATGATGAGGAGGAGAAGGAGGAGGAGAAGGATGAGGATTTTAAGGAGGAGGAGGAGGAGCAGGAGGAGGAGGAGGAGATCGATGATGATGGTGATGATGATGATGATGATGATGATGATGACGAGGGAAGGATGATGATGATGATGATGATGATGGTGGTGAGGATGATGAGGATGAGGATGACATGATGATGATCAGGGGTGATGATGATGGTGATGATGCTGCTGATGATGATGATGATGATGAGGGATGAGAAGGCTGAGAAGGATGAGAAGGATGAGAAGGATGATGAGATGATGATGATGATGATGATGATCATGATGATCATGATGATGATCATGATGATGATGGTGATGGTGATGAGGAAGAGTAGGAGGAGGTGGAGCAGGAGGTGGAGCAGGCTGAAGATGAGGGCAAGAGGATGAATTTGATGATCATGATAGTATGATATGCTTTGATAGAGTAGACAAAATAATAAATAGAGTAATTCTATATAATATAAAGTTAAACAAAGTCATCAAATGAATTTCACTATGATGCAATCGATGTGGTAGTGGTAGTGGTGGTGGTGATGTGACGCACATCTGGGTCTGGGCCTCCTGTGAAGCAAGACTGTCGGATATCTCGCAGCCCATTACTTGGACCACTTCACCGACACCTCAAAGCATTGGTCACCAGTCGTCACCGGAGTAGACTATTCCATGGTGGGTCGGCTCAGGCTCCAATCCATATTGGTCCATTCCATTACCATGATTGATTGAATATGATGGTGGAATATGGTGGAATATGGTGGTGGAATATGGTGGTGGAATATGGTGGAATATGGTGGCTCTTTTGAGCCCAGGGTGCTGTGCAGGGTGCTGTCCAGACTGCGGTGGCGAAGTCTGGCAATGGTGCTGTGCAGGGTGCTGTGCAGGGTGTTGTCCAGACTGCGGTGGCCAAGTCTGGCAAAGGTGCTGTGCAGGGTGCTGTGCAGGGTGCTGTGCAGGGCTGTCCAGACTGCGGTGGCGAAGTCTAGCAAAGGTGCTGTGCAGGCTGCTGTGCAGGGGGCTGTCCAGACTGCGGTGTGACTGCTGTGGCGAAGTCTGGGAAAGGTGCCGTGCAGGGTGCTGTCCAGACTGCGGTGGCGAACTGGCAAAGGTGCTGTGCAGGGTGCTGTGCAGGGTGCTGTGCAGGGTGCTGTCCAGATTGCGGTGGCGAAGTGTGGCAAAGGTGCTGTGCAGGGTGCTGTCCAGACTGCGGTGGCGAAGTCTGGCAAAGGTGCTGTGCAGGGTGCTGTGCAGGGTGCTTGCTGTCCAGACTTCGGTGGCGAAGTCTGGCAAAGGTGCTGTGCAGGGTGCTGTGCAGGGTGTTGTCCAGACTGCGGTGGCGAAGTCTGGCAAAGGTGCTGTGCAGGGTGCTCTGCAGGGTGTTGTCCAGAGTGCGGTGGCGAAGTCTGGCAAAGGTGCTGTCCAGACTGCGGTGGCGAAGTCTGGCAAGGTGCTGTGCAGGGTGCTTTGCAGGGTGCTGTCCAGACTGCGGTGGCGAAGTCTGGCAAAGGTGTGGAATATGGTGGAATATGGGTGGAATATGGTGGAATATGGTGGAATATGGGTGGAATATGGTGGACTATGGTGGACTATGGTGGATAATGGTGGATAATGGTGGAATATGGTGGAATATGGTGGGTAATGGTGGAATATGGTGGAATATGGGTGGAATATGGTGAAAATGCTGGTGGAATATGGTGGAATATGGTTGATAATGGTGGAATATGGTGGAATATGCTGGTGGAATATGGTGGAATATGGATGGAATAATGGTGGAATATGGTGGTGGAATATGGTGGAATATGGGTGGAATATGGTGGAATATGGTGGAATATGATGGATAGTGGTGGATAATGGTGGATTATGGTGGAATATGGTGGAATATGGTAAGATATGGTGGATAATGGTAGAATATGATGGAATATGGTGGGATATGGGTGGAATATGGGTGGCATATGGTGGATAATGGTGGACAATGGTGGAATATGGTGGAATATGGTGGAATATGGTGGAATATAGGTGGAATATGGTGGAATATGGTGGATAATGGTGGAATATGGTGGAATATGGTGGAATATGATGGAATATGGTGGAATATGGGTGGAATATGGGTGGAATATGGTGGATAATGGTGGAATATGGTGGTGGAATATGGGTGGAATATGGTGGAATATGGTGGAATATGGGTGGAATATGGGTGGAATATGGTGGATAATGGGTGGAATATGGGTGGAATATGGTGGACTATGGTGGAATATGGTGGAATATGGGTGGAATATGGTGGAATATGAATATGGTGGAATATGGTGGAATATGGTGGAATATGGTAATGGTGGAATATGGTGGAATATGGGTGGAATCTGGTGGAATATGGTGGATAATGGGTGGAATATGGTGGAATATGGTGGAATATGGTGGGTAATGGTGGAATATGGTGGAGTATGGGTGGAATCTGGTGGAATATGGTGGATAATGGGTGGAATATGGTGGAATATGGTGGTAGGTGGAATATGGTGGAATATGCTGGTGGAATATGGTGGAATATGGTTGATAATGGTGGAATATGGTGGAATATGGGTGGAATATGGTGGAATATGCTGGTGGAATATGGTGGAATATGGGTGGAATATGGTTGATAATGGTGGAATATGGTTGAATATGGTGGAATATGGTGGAATACGGCGGATAATGGGTGGAATATGGTGGGGGTGGAATATGGTGGAATATGGTGGGATATGGGTGGAATATGGGTGGAATATGGTTGATAATAGTGGATAATGGTGGAATATGGTGGAATATGGTGGAATATGGTGGAATATAGGTGGAATATGGTGGAATATGGTGGAATATGGTGGATAATGGTGGAATATGGTGGAATATGGTGGAATATGATGGAATATGGTGGAATATGGGTGGAATATGGGTGGAATATGGTGGATAATGGTGGAATATGGTGGAATATGGTGGAATATGGTGGTGGAATATGGTGGTGGAATATGGGTGGAATATGGTGGAATATGGTGGAATACGGTGGATAATGGGTGGAATATGGTGGAGGTGGAATATGGGTGGAATATGGGTGGAATATTGTGGATAATGGTGGAATATGGTGGAATATGGTGATGGAATATGGTGGTGGAATATGGGTGGAATATGGTGGAATATGGTGGAATATGATGGATAGTGGTGGATAATGGTGGAATATGGTGGAATATGGTGGAATATGGGTGGAATCTGGTGGAATATGGTGGATAATGGGTGGAATATGGTGGAATATGGCGGTAGGTGGAATATGGTGGAATATGCTGGTGGAATATGCTGGAATATGGTTGATAATGGTGGAATATGGTGGAATATGGGTGGAATATGGTGGAATATGGTGGAATATGGTGGAATATGGGTGGAATATGGTGGAATATGGTGGAATATGGGTGGAATATGGTGGACTATGGTGGTGGAATATGGTGGAATATGGGTGGAATATGGTGGAATATGGGTGGAATATGGGTGGAATATGGTGGATAATGGTGGAATATGGTGGAATATGGTGGTGGAATATGGTGGAATATGGGTGGAATATGGTGGAATATGGTGGAATATGATGGATAGTGGTGGATAATGGTGGAATATGGGGGAATATGGGTGGAATATGGGGGAATATGGTAAAATATGGTGGATAATGGTGGAATATGATGGAATATGGTGGGATATGGGTGGAATATGGGTGGAATATGGTGGATAATGGTGGATAATGGTGGAATATGGTGGAATATGGTGGAATATGGTGGAATATTGGTGGAATATGGTGGAATATGGTGGAATATGGTGGAATATGGTGGAATATGGTGGAATATGGTGGAATATGGGTGGAATATGGTGGAATATGGATGGAATATGGTGGAATATGGTGGGTAATGGTGGAATATTCTATTATAAAGTAATATGATTGATGGATGATGGATGATATATATATATATATAAAGATTATGTAGGCAAAAGCAAGTTGCTGGGCAGCGATGCTGGCTCAGCTGGCGCAACCAGTGCCAGGTTGACATCATCGCACTCGAGCATGACCTTCAAGTCGGCCAGAACATCAGCTGTATCTGGACTCTTGACCCATACTTGCTTTGACCACAGAGGTACAGTAATACAGTAAGTCTCCCATGATTCTAGTGACTAGCCTGATGATGATGCCCTGTTTTGCTGCGCCTGTGGAACATTCGCAGGTTTCAATGAGCACATAGATAGGCACATAGATACAGCGTCATCATCCAGCAGCATTTGCACATCCAAGGATGGCATGGCTCCCAGATTGAGTTCAGTTCCTGAGGCATCTGTTGCGGCGCTGCGGCGGTGAGATCAGCTGGGTTTCTTTGGGCCTATCTAGCTAGTAGACAGTATCTGTGAGTCTCACTGTGAGTCCTGTGTGAGTCATATAATTTCGTTAAGTTGGTGACCAGTGGCAGTGGTGGTGACTGTAAGAAACTCAGACCCTCCTCACAGCCACAACCACCCATCCATTGAGGGCCTTGATCAGAAATTGTTGCCACTGTTTGCTGGCAGTAGTGCTTGATCTCTTGGCCGGCCTCCAAGTGCAGGATATGGAGCAGTCCAGCGGCTTTGTGTTGAAGCGCTGTGCACCCTGCAGGGACTGATGCACTGAGCAGGGACTGATGCACTGAGTGTGCCATTGGGGCTGGGGGGAACAAACAACAATAGTCTAGTCACTCTAGTCAAGTTTTAAACTTTTAAACCAAACCTCACCTCTTCCCAAACTGATCAAAGGCAATATCCTCTTGTTGATGCAAAACTTCTCATGGGCCAATTCTGATTGCAACTGCTTTTCCAGATGGTCTTTAGACATTTCTGTCAAATCTTCTTCATCACTTGAAGATGAATCAGAATCTGAATTAGTCAGCTGCTTAGCCCGCTGTGCCCTTTCAATGGCCCTCAACCGCTGCTTCTCTAGACACTGATGTCTCTGCAGGAATGCAGTTTCAGCTGGAGCCAGCCTTGGTCAACAGCAGCAAAGGCATCTGGGGCCGGGGTCCGGGGTCCTGGGGTCCATGAAAGAATTGAACTTTAAATTGAAGGCAGCAGCAGTCACTCACTGACTCAGACTCACTGAATGTTTTATTCGGGGGGCCCAGCTGGATAGTGTGTTCTTCAGCCACCATCAACTCCTTCGCCATGGTCGTCGCATCATAGCCTGGTTGGGAGTTGATTGGAGTTGTTTGAGCGGAGGAGTTGAAATCAAAAGGTTAGTTGGTTGGGTGGAGTTGGAGTTGGGGTTGGAATCAAAAGTTGTTGTCAAGTAGCCTAGCTGTATGGAGGTGTTCTGCCAGTTCTCCTTCCAAAACTTCCTTCTCATCAACATGAGACCAACATCAACTTTGGGCCGTGCCCTCGAGATAGTCCCACCAGATGGGCATTTGACTTTGTCATTGATGACCGCAACCTCATCCTTCGAACCAAAAAATAGATGGAGCCAATTCTGCAGCGCATCTCCCATCTTGGAAGAGTTTCTCAAAGTAGTGGACCTGGATTCTGCGCTCAGAGTTTGATTCCCCAACTTTATAGTGAATCATAACTCATGACTGACTGTTATGATTCCATGTTCCAATCAAATCCTATCCAAATTCAAAGACTCATGTTGTCATGACTGCACTCATGACTAATCTCAGGATATATAATATGTATTCCAAGTCCAAGGGTCGCTCGAACAAAATGAAACAGCTGGTGCAGATTGTAGTAGGCAGCCCCCTTCCCACTGCGTTCTGCAGCAACCAACATATCTGGCTGAAGCATGCCATCTGAGTGAACCTTCAGGGGGACAACAATGTCATAGTCAGACATACCCATAGCCAAACATATTTTTATGTTAACCATAGCCAAGCCATCGCAAACCAAATGTTCTCACACCTTCCTGTGCTTGGCCAGGAGTTGCATACCCAATGTGTATGCGGTGATGGCATCTCTGCTGCCACTTTCAAAGATAAGCGGCCCACAGAGTAAAAAAACTTGCTGCGCTTTGGCCAGGTCTTCATAGATAGCCATGGGTCAGCAGCCATCAATGAAGAAAGGGCTGATGATGATGACAATGACAATGATTTGACTTTTGAATCGTGGATGGGTTGGTTTGAGCTAAGTATGTAGTAAGTATATATGTAGAAAAAAATGAATTACCTGGTTACAAGTTATAGTTATATGTAACATGTATGATAATTAAGGTGCCTCAAACTTGCATTGCCTTGTGGTTTATCTTTTTTGTTTCACCTGTGAACCATGAATCCATGAGAATGGCATGGTTTCTCTTTGGTCCAAAATGCAGAGTTTGGCGCCTATTTGGGGGAGCCCAATCCATAAAACACAAGCCACCAGTTAAAACGCAAGACCTGTGCAAATTCTCATCCCCGTCATATTTTAAAAGCTTGGCACGCTCAAGTTGTGAACGGTATCGCCAAACACTCATGGCCCCAGGCACTGCTGCAAAGATGTCACGGGATCGAGAATGCGCACCAAGAGCTAAGGTTGCTCGGTGACAAGCGTAGCACAGTGCGCCTCTTGGAAGCGTGCCATGCTTAGCATCCCTCATCTCAGCCCATTTCACGGCGTGTTTGCAGTGGAAGCACACACTGCACTTGTCCGTAGGCTCCTTGGAGAAGCCGATTCTCTTTTGGTTTCCACCCTTGTGACCCTGCCGCGCCCTCACGTGTGACCGGATCTGCTCCAGCTGCTCCTCTGTCAGCGTCGCTGCCTCCTTCGATGCGGCAGAGGAAACAAAATGCACTTAAGCATTCTACTCATGATGGAAAAATAACAACGTTGTGGGGATACAGAAATGCATTGCAGCCACACCAAAACCCCAACCAGTGTGTCCTGAAACGCTGTCTTGCAACTCTCTGGCTGGGGCGCCTTGTGTCGGATGCGTTTCCACCCGAGGGCTGCCTTGTCAGGAGTCTCGCTAGTGTCCTGTGGTGCTGCTCTCTTTGGTGGTGTGCGGTCAGGCACGGGCTGCGAGGGAGCTTCACGGTCCTCAGGCACATGCACATGTTCAAAGGAAATCACGACGCTGGAGGCGTCCAATCACTGACACGGACACAAATCTGAAGCTCAGTGGTTACACGCCTGCTGTCTGAACCTGCGGCCCAGGAACTGGCTGCACAACTTGCTGGTCTTGCGTCACAGGTGGCTCAGGCGGCGGTTCCAAAGCCTGACACAGACAGAAATCACCATGAAAACGACACAAGTTCTGAAGCTCAGTGGTTACACTGCTGCTGTCTGATCCTGCGGCCCAGGAACTGGCTGCACAACTTGCTGGTCTTGCGTCACAGGTGGCTCAGGCGGCGGTTCCAAAGCCTGACACAGACAGAATTCACCATGAAAACGACACAAGTTCTGAAGCTCAGTGGTTACACGGCTGCTGTCTGAACCTGCGGCCCAGGAACTGGCTGCACAACTTGCTGGTCTTGCGTCACAGGTGGCTCAGGCGGCGGTTCCAAAGCCTAACACAGACAGAATTCACCATGAAAACGACACAATTTCTGAAGCTAACTGTTTACACGGCTGCTGTCTGAACCTGCGGCCCAGGAACTGGCTGCACAACTTGCTGGTCTTGCTTCACAGGTGGCTCAGGCGGCGGTTCCAAAGCCTGACACAGACAGAAATCACCATGAAAACGACACAAGTTCTGAAGCTCAGTGGTTACACGGCTGCTGTCTGATCCTGCGGCCCAGGAACTGGCTGCACAACTTGCTGGTCTTGCGTCACAGGTGGCTCAGGCGGTTCCAAAGCCTGACACAGACAGAAATCACCATGAAAACGACACAAGTTCTGAAGCTCAGTGGTTACACGGCTGCTGTCTGATCCTGCGGCCCAGGAACTGGCTGCACAACAAGCTGGTCTTGCTTCACAGGTGGCTCAGGCGGCAGTTGCACCGCCTGACACAGACAGAATTCAACCACGACACGAACCAACCAACACACCGAGCAGCAGACGGGACGTGGCCAAAGCGCGGCACACCCCGCCCGCAGCCTGCGACACGAACGAACGAACCCACCACGAAACGAACCAGCCGAGCAGCAGACGGGACGTGGCCAAAGCGCGGCACACGCACCCTGTCCGCAGCCCGCGACGAACGAACCAACCCACCACGAAACGAACCAGCCGAGCAGCAGACGGGACGTGGCCAAAGCGCGGCACACGCACCCCGTCCGCCACCCACCACGAACGAACCAACCCAACACGAACCAACCAACACACCGAGCAGCAGACGGGACGTGGCCAAAGCGCGGCACACGCACCCCGTCCGCCACCCACCACGAACGAACCAACCCAACACGAACCAACCAACACACCGAGCAGCAGACGGGACGTGGCCAAAGCGCGGCACACGTACCCCGTCCGCCACCCACCACGAACGAACCAACCCAACACGAACCAACCAACCCACCGAGCAGCAGACGGGACGTGGCCAAAGCGCGGCACACGCACCCCGTCCGCCACCCACCACGAACGAACCAACCCAACACGAACCAACCAACACACCGAGCAGCAGACGGGACGTGGCCAAAGCGCGGCACACGCACCCCGCCCGCAGCCCGCGACGAACGAACCAACCCACCACGAACGAACCAACCCACCACGACGAACGAACCAACCAACGAATCGAGCCAGCTGACTGGACCGGCCTTCTGGACAAGTTCGCGGAATTGTGCCGGAACCTGCTCAAGAGGAGGTCTATCGCTCCACTGCATGAGCCATTGCCATGCGTGGAGCTCCGACTCCTCGAACCGCGTCTTTCGCTCTCCGGGAGCTGGTGCCAAGCGAAATGCCTGGTATCGGAAGCTCCTGCGCAGCAGGTTTCTGATATTATAGCCTCTCCAAAGGAGGCCACCCAAAAAGAAACACAACAATGACGCTGATTTGTTTACACTTCTTGCCATAGGCCCGATCTCCTTGTGCAGAAACGCACATGTGTCCGAGTGCGCCCCATCGCAGCTGGACAATGCGAAATGGCTGCAGTCAAATGGCTTTACAACCCCACCATGATATATACATATTACAATCATTAACGTTTTTTTTCCCTTTTATCGTTTTTTCGAGCGATAACTCTGTCTGGACACGTCGGGCCCCACGAATACATAATCACAATTAACGGGGTTATTTAACAACTTCGTCTGTGTGTGAAGGAGTCTGTGTGTAAAAGCTTCTGTGTGTAAAAGCGTCTGTGCGTAAAAGCGTCTGTGTGTAAAGGAGTCTGTGTGTAAAAGCTTCTGTGTGTAAAAGCGTCTGTGTGTAAAAGCGTTTGTGTGTAAAAGCGTCTGTGTGTAAAAGCGCCTGTGTGTAAAAGCTTCTGTGTGTAAAAGCCTCTGTGTGTAAAAACGTCTGTGTGTAAAAGCGCCTGTGTGTAAAAGCTTCTGTGTGTAAAAGCCTCTGTGTGTGAAAGTGTTGTGTGTTAAAAGCTTCTGTGTGTAAAAGCGTCTGTGTGTTAAGGAGTCTGTGTGTAAAAGCGTCTGTGTGTAAAAGCGTCTGTGTGTAAAAGCTTCTGTGTGTAAAAGCGTCTGTGTTTAAAAGAGTCTGTGTGTAAAAGCTTCTGTGTGTAAAAGCGTCTGTGTGTAAAAGCGTCTGTGTGTAAAGGAGTCTGTGTGTAAAAGCTTCTGTGTGTAAAAGCTTCTGTGTTTAAAAGCGTCTGTGTGTAAAAGTGTCTGTGTGTAAAATGGTCTGTGTGTAAAAGTGTCTGTGTGTGTGTAAAACGCATCTGCGTGTAAAAGTGTCTGCGTGTAGAAGCGTCTGTGTGTAAAACCGTCTGTGTGTAAAAGCTTTTGTGTGTAAAAGTGTCTGTGAGATCTCGAGAATTACATTGTGACAATGTCAGTGTTTGTTGACGATGCAGTGGATCTATGTGATTTATGGCACAAAAAAATATGTGATCTTTGCATTGAAATGCATGAGCAGTGGACAAAAAAAAACTACGGGAATCATTGTACTGTTCAATTTTGTACCGTTCAATTTTGTTTTGTTCTCAAGCATGTCATGGCATTGTTTTGAACTCAAGCGAACAGATATGCATGTCTCGGAATTTTCTGAATGCAACATGTTTGGTTGAAGTCACGCACCCGTGACGTTTGTGGACGTTTTGTGGTCTCTGTTTCATTTGCTGACGGGAATGTCTGTGCGAATGGTGCATGCGACCGCGTCATTCGCGTCGTCCGCTGCCGTGGAAATTTGGTTGCAGAGGCATTGCGAGATGATGCAAGATGGTGTTGCCGAGCTGCTGAGTTTTTTGTTTTTGAGCTTTGTTAAACTATTTTTTTGTTGATGCGTTCAGCCTTTAGTTTGCAGGTCTCTGCGACAGTGGTTCTTTGCCATGTCAAACTCATGAGTGGTGGTCTCAGTTTGGAAGTCAGCGAACAAATCCTTTGCAGTGGATTGTGCAACTCTGCAGCGACAAGCATAGTTTACCTCTTTACCTCTTTCCTTGGCTCAGATGTGAACGTCGAGACAAGATGCATTGTGTACAGAGTGAACATCCAGATTCTTATATGTACGCTGAATGTTCGTGAAACAAGTGACGATTGGCAAACAGGTATCTTGAACATTTCTTGGACTTCTCGAGGTTTCTGTGGGGGCTGTCCGTGAGATCTCGAGAATTGCATTGTGACAATGTCAGTGTTTGTTTACGATGCAGTGGATCTATGTAAGTATAGCGCGAAAAAATATATGTAATGTTTTCATTGAAATGCATGAGCAGTGGACAAAAAATACTACGGGAATCATTGTACCGTACAATTTTGTGGTCGCTGTTTCATTTGCTGAAGGGGATGTCTGTGCGAATGGAGCATGCGACCGCGTCATCCTCGTCGTCCGATGGCGTGGAAATTCGGTTGCAGGAGCTGCGTAGCAGTGCTGTGACCAGGGGTCGTGAATGGCTCCAGGATGCCCTGGCAAACATTTCAGTCATGGAGCTTCGCAAAATGGCGCATGCTCGAAATGTTGGCCGTGGACCGGACAACAAGTGGCTTGCGGTTGGAGAGCTGCGCGCTCAATTGCTGGATGTCTTGGCACCACGCATGCAGGTCCGGTGGGGCAGAATAGGATTGTGACGAAAGTTGCGTGCTTGTCACATGTTGTAGGATGATGGCGGTTTTGTGGTGGCAGTGTGTCGGATGCTGCAGGTGGAAGAGGCATCGGCTGCCAAATTGGAAGAACTTCGCCTTGGGGCTGTTTCACAGGGCAGGGAGTGGCTCAGTCGTTCTTTGGACGAAATGCGAAAAGAGGAGCTTCGAGTCCTGGCTACTGCGGGTGGTGTGGAGACACGATCCGGCAAGGCTTGGCTGCCTGTAGCAGAGCTGCGCAACTCGTTGATGAAAGTCTTGGAACCCTCCACGGAGGTTGGGTTCAACCACAAAATGTGTTGTGACATGAGTTGTTTTTGTGACCGAGTTTGAATGTTTGTCACATGGTGCGATGTTGTAGAATGATGGCGGTTTTGTGGGGGCAGTGTGTCGGATGCCGCAGGTGGAAGAGGCATCGGCTGCCAAATTGGAAGAACTTCGCCTTGGGGCTGTTTCACAGGGCAAGGATTGGCTGAGGCGTTCTTTGTCGGAAATGTCAGCTCGTCCGCTTCGAGTTCTGGCTGCTGCGGGTGGTGTGCAGACACATTCCAACCGGAATTGGCTGCCTGTAGCAGAGCTGCGCAACTCGTTGATGAAAGTCTTGGAACCCTCCACGGAGGTTGGGTTCAACCAAAAAATGTGTTGTGACATGAGTTGTTTTTGTGACCGAGTTTGAATGTTTGTCACATGGTGCGATGTTGTAGGATGATGGTGGTTTTGTGGCGGCAGTGTGTCGGATGCCGCAGGTGGAAGAGGCATCGGCTGCCAAATTGGAAGAACTTCGCCTTACAGCTGTTTCACAGGGCAAGGAGTGGCTCAGTCGTGCTTTGTACGAAATGCGAAAAGAAAAGATTCGAGTCCTGGCTACTGCGGGTGGTGTGCAGACACATTCCAACCGGAATTGGCTGCCTGTAGCAGAGCTGCGCAACTCGTTGATGAAAGTCTTGGAACCCTCCACGGAGGTTGGGTTCAACCACAAAATGTGTTGTGACATGAGTTGTTTTTGTGACCGAGTTTGAATGTTTGTCACATGGTGCGATGTTGTAGAATGATGGCGGTTTTGTGGTGGCAGTGTGTCGGATGCCGCAGGTGGAAGAGGCATCGGCTGCCAAATTGGAAGAACTTCGCCTTGGGGCTGTTTCACAGGGCAAGGAGTGGCTCAGTCGTTCTTTGTCGGAAATGTCAGCTCGTCAGCTTCGAGTTCTGGCTGCTGCGGGTGGTGCGAAGACGAAGTCTGACGGGAATTGGCTGCCTGTAGCAGAGCTGCGCAACTCGTTGATGAAAGTCTTGGAACCCTCCACGGAGGTTGGGTTCAACCAAAAAATGTGTTGTGACATGAGTTGTTTTTGTGACCGAATTTGAATGTTTGTCACATGGTGCGATGTTGTAGGATGATGGTGGTTTTGTGGTGGCAGTGTGTCGGATGCCGTAGGTGGAAGAGGCATCGGCTGCCAAATTGGAAGAACTTCGCCTTGGAGCTGTTTCACAGGGCAAGGAGTGGCTGAGTCGTTCTTTGTCGGAAATGTCAGCTCGTCAGCTTCGAGTTCTGGCTGCTGCGGGTGGTGCGAAGACAAAGTCTGACGGGATTTGGCTGCCTGTAGGAGAGGTGCGCAACTCGTTGATGAAAGTCTTGGAACCCTCCACGGAGGTTGGGTTCAACCAAAAAATGTGTTGTGACATGAGTTGTTTTTGTGACCGAATTTGCATGTTTGTGAGACATGGCATCATGTTTGTGACATACCAGGGATCGACAAACAAATATCTTCAACATTTGTTGCATCTCTTTAGGTCTCTGTAGGGGCTGTCCGTGAGATCTCGAGAATTGCATAGTGATCATGCCAATTTTCGTTTGTGATGTAGTGGATCTATGTGTTATTATTTCATTGATATGCATGAGGAGCGGGAAAAAAATGTAGGATGATGGTTGTTTTGTGGTGGCGGTGTGTTCCATGCTGTAGGTGGACGAAGCATCGGCTGCCAAATTGGAAGAACTTCACCTTGGAGCTGTTTCAGAGGGTGAGGAGTGGCTCCATCGTGCTTTGTACAAAATACCTGCAGAGGAGCTTCGAGTCCTGGCCACTGCGGGTGGTGTGGAGACACATTCCAACCGGAATTGGTTGCCTGTAGCAGAGCTGCGCAGATCGTTGATGAAAGTCTTGGCGACTTCCACGGAGGTTGGGTGCAATAAAAAAGGCATCTTGAAGTTTTTATAGGAGCTGTTTGTGAGATCTCGAGAATTGAATAGTGATTATGCCGGCAAGTCCGGCTGTTTTTTTATTTTTATTTTTTAAGCAGGAGCCGTGTCACGATGATACCCTTGCATCTGGTGCAAGTGTCTTGTGGGGCTGGCTGAAACGATGTTTGGAAAGTCCTGCGGCGCCTGATACTACATTGCTTCGAGATGCTGTTCCAGAACAAAAAGATCGCATGCGTATTTTGGCGGTTTTGGCCGACAAGACCATGGGTCAGGTGGAGGGATTGCATCTTTCGCTTGCTTCTTTGGATGCTCGTGTGGTGGATGCGACGTTGCCGCTTCTTGCTACTTTCGATGAAGTGCAGCAATCGTGGCCCAGCAAAGCTGTCACGGATTCTGTTGATTTATTGGATTTACCAGGTTACTTCGCCTCCATTGGCATGGAGCATTTGCTGCGGCATCAGGTCGTGGCATTGTTGTCCTGTGTTTTGCTGAGTGTATCGGAAGAAAGACGACTTCAATGGTGTCGTTTGGTTGGGTTCACCATCGACGCGGACATGTTGGAAGTGGCGAGCCGTTTGTGGGATGTCCACACACTTACAGCTGCTTGTGAATGGGACAGTTCTGGTGGTTATGAGGATCGTGACAATGTGGTGGAGGTGAGTGGTTGTCGAAACTATTGTATGGCCTGCGTTAGTT